AAGCATCAAAATTCAAAAGTAATGTCAAATTTCGTATTTGTCAAAGCACAAACAACGCTAATAATTGACATAAAGATTTGTATTTGTGGTATTTATACATATAGTAAGTATGAAAGTTGTTCTTGCCCGTGACCCCATCTTAATTTGGGGACTGAAAAACCTGTTGAAAAAACGGCATTTTTAACGCTTTTTAAAACCAGCATATATTCCAATCGTCTGATATGCCTAATGAGGCCTCATTTAACGTTTTTTTAAATGTGAGATATGAGTGCGTTTCCACTTACATTATCCATATATTTACACCTCATGAATCGATCCTATAAGTGTGTGTAAAACACGAAGACACATATCGTGTATCGTGGTCATAGCATTTTTCACACGCACTGAAATTTTTTTTTTTCCCCAACATGAGCACACTCGTTACCGCATAATATTTTCATTGGAAAATATTTCTCGAATAGTTATTATTCTTTTTCTGTTTTAATATTTTGCGGTAACGAGTGTGCTGTATGTGTAAATCACGATTGATTGTGTAAAATTTGGCATTTTCCCGGAAAATCTCGAACCACGGTGAGGTTTAGAATTTAGTTTGACATAAAAAATATCCGGTTTTGACGGAAATGTTGTGCATGTGAAATGTATTAATGTTCTAGGGTGAGAATAATCAGAAACATATATTCTGAAGTCCTTTTAATTTTTTTCATATTTACTAAGCCAAATAAGGCATATTGTGGGTCGAGTTCTTTGAAAGTGTTAGGATTTTTACAATATCTATTTTGGAGAAATATTTTTCCGTCATTCGAAAAGAACTTGCATTCCAAAACATAATGAAATTCATCACCAACAGTTTTACAATCACAAATGGTACATATTCTTAAATTTCTATCAATATTATTCCATCTACCTGTTTCAATTGGCAAATGATGATTACACGTTCGTAGTTTTGTAAGTGTAACTCTTAAATCTTTTGGTAAATTCAGCAGATAATTTTCGAAACCAAAGTTTGTTTCAAAAATTCTATAATTAATACACTTGGGTGAACAAAAACAAAATGCTAAAGCATAACTATAAAATTTTAGCGCTTTTCGACGTCATAATAGTAATGTTGGTTGTGTAATTGTAACTAAACTATGTTTTGTCAAACTGTTGAAGATTGAAAATGAAACTGGTAGAATTCATTTCTGTGTTGTGATTTTTAAATAAACAAAATGCGGTTATTCGTGTAAAAAAAGGTTCTAAAGACAATAATATGTTGACGGTGCGACCGTTAGGGCGAGCGCAGATATTTAGATCGGGCTCGTCAAACCGCACGTGACATTTGCTACGTCTATACTCTGACGTCATTTAACGTCGTATGTATGTTTCATTACCAAAACGAAGTCTGAACAGTGCTATTTTTAATCAAAAACGTTTAATCTACTATATGTCTGCTATATATCCATTAAATAAAGGTGATTTATATATTTTGTTGAATTTTTGTTGCTACCGCGAGATCGTGGTTTGCGGCGAGATGCAATTCGCTAAGCATTATGGGACCACAGGTAACTGCGGAAAAAAATTCACTTGGATCAATGTGAAAAGTCCGAATTTTCTCTTCGCCCAGGCGTTGCTTTAAGAGCTCGCAGTGACGAGCGGCGCTTCGCGCCGCTCGGTGCGCTCGCTATTATTTCAATAGTAGATATTATTTTAATAGCGGTAGTATTAATCCAACCACTTTTGAAATGACGATCATTAATGAAATAATTATTTCAATAACAGACATTATTTCAATAGCGGTTTTATACGTTTGACCACTATTGAAATAACACCCACTATTGTAATAATGATTATACTAACTTCCCTAGAATTTTGTTTTTTTAATGTCTTGACCAGTAGATGTTGGATTTACTATCCATATTTGTAGTGTAGGCAAGCCCATGAAGATGAGCAAGAATTTAGTTCTATTCTATATTCTTTTTATTAAAAATAACCAAATTTTCATCAGAAAGTTTGTACACATAGATATCAGTCTTCTTTCTTCTTCTTAATTTATACAGTATATTGTAATTTCTAAAACTATATGTATTTATGATTATTTCCCTTCCAAATCAATGGCAAAGATGAACCTTATATAACAAAACAACTTAAAACTTGCATAGCCTATATTGATTGATTGTCAGTTGGTTTTCGCCGAGTCGGCCAGATTCAGCGGAAGCTTGCCAACGTAAATAATGGCGTAACAATTAGTATGAAAAACGTCAGTCAGCATTTGACTCAATGATAAATTGTATTTGCTGACAAGGTCATTGTTTCGACCATAGAACTTACGAAATGATGACTTTAAACGAGACTGCTGATATTCTTGTTTCATCAACTTGTTTGTCAATAATTTACCTCGTTTTAGAAATTGTACATACGTAGAGCATGCTCTTGCGTATCGAATCAACTGAGAGATATAAACCCCGTATTCAGGTGATGAAGGTATATTGCTGCATAAGTAAGGGAAGTTGACGATTGAAAAGTTAAAGTCATCACGTTTATCATAACGCTTGGTTGTTAGATTACCATTAACGTCTTTTTAAAGTAAAATATCCAAATATGAAACAGATGTGTCAGACTCGGTAGTATCTTTTATCTCAAGCTCACCGGGATATATCGTATCGACATAAGAATGGAAATAACCATTGTTAATTGACAATACGTCGTCGATATATCTAAATGTCGAGTTGAAGGCCACAGCAAGTGTTTTCTTCTTTTCACGTATAAGATTTTGGACAAATTCTGCTTCATATGAATACAAAAAAGGTCTGCTAATAACAGGGCGCAATTGGTACCCATGGGAATTCCAATAGACTGTTGGAAGATCTGGTCTCCAAAAACTACATAGATATTGTCAATCAGATGTCAATTTAAATGTCAACTTCAGAGTACTTGTGTGTACAATCAGAATGTTTTTTAACAAAATGATTTTGCAAATGACCAATGATAAGGTAAGTAAATTTACGAGTTCCATTTTTATTGAAAAAGGAGCTGTCAATGATATCAAAAATCCTGGATTTTAATTTATCATGGGGAATGATTGTGTATAAAGTTGAAAAGTCGTAAGATTTTAAGCTGTTGATTTTGGTAAAATCTTGTGATTTCAAATTTTCCAAAAGTTCCTTGGATTTTTTAAGTATCCCCATCTGATTTACACCACTTCTCGAATATATTGTTGCACAGTACTCTTGTAGTTTCCTCTTCACTACTGTTAATATCTTAGTGAGGAGTAAAGAAAGAGGCTTGGTTGAACATTTACTGGAACCCGCTATGTATCTTTGTTTGTAAGGATTTTTATGACGTTTCGGAATCCAATCTCCTTCATTCTCTCTTTTGACAATTCTGATGCTCTGCATATATCAAGACAGCTTTTCAAAGTTAACGAGGTTCGTTCCTGAGCTTTATGTTTAAGTTCTTACAATGAATTTGGACTCAACATTGCTAATTAAATTATATTCAATCAAAACCCCATGATTAAATTCCATACCGAAAGCATTAAGTGAGGAACTATATTTTGTGGTGGAAGGTTTATTAGAAGAAAATTATCAATTTTTCTCTTTCGAAATAGTTATAGTATTATTAAGTTTAGGTTCCTATTTTTACATGCAGCCTGCACACAGAGGGATTTTGTGCAGTGAAACGTTTTATGCTGGTCCTAAATATTGTTTTAACCGTTATGAATTCTATCAACATATTGGACAAATATAGCAAATATATTGTGTAAGTCCTGGAAAAAAAATAGCCCACTTTAGGCTAAAAATTAACCTATTTTAGTTACATCTAAAAATAACATCACAAACCCCCACTTTTAATTTTCTTTTCTGAATATACAAGGTAATTTTAACTATTCTGCTTAAATTCAGAAAAATGTCATTACTTTCAAATGATTTTATTGCTTGTTAAATTTTTAATGCCGGAAAAATGACATTTTATGAGTGCAAAAAGGTCAAATAATTGACTATGCGAAGTAATTTGAATTTTTTTTTTTTTTGTTTTCACGAAATTTAGAGAGACTATACAAGATGAAAAAGACTGTGATTGTTCCCATATTTTATTTGAATAAAAAATATTAGAGGAAAAACTTTGAACAATTTATTTATGTGTTGGACGTAATTACTGTGCAAAGATGTCATATTAAATGCTCCGTAGCGCCAATTACCCACATTTTTTGTTTTGATTTTTAATTAAGCTATGTGTATAGATTTCAAAAATATACCTGATAAACAAAATTCTTAATACGTTTGATAACAAAATCCAACCTCCTTAAGTTTGTTTCTCGTAAAAGTCTTTCACACAGGTACAATGAAATATGTGGAGATAACGAACAGTATTCGAGCTCAAATGTCCATTAAACATTACAAAAATTGGAGCAGAGCAAACATGGACCTCTCAGACATCAGAGGTGGGATCAGGTGCCATGGAGGAGTGAGCATCCAATGCCGACTGGTCACAATCGCCCTGTGCTCCGTGTGCAAGTCTCTAATTCTACAAAAAAAAATGCGGTCACGGACTAACGACTCCTCTAATTCCCCAAAGCCACAATGTGCTGTTAAAAGCTTAAAAAAAATTGGCCTAAGGTAAAATAATATTGCTCTATTTGTGTCTGCAGGCATTCCTTCACAAACTATAAATATTAACATTTTTCATGGAAAGGTATAAAACAAACATTTGTTTACATAGGTCTTAAAGCTTAGATTTTTCAGTAAGATCGACACCTTCAACTTATTCTAGACAGCTATATTTTCCAGACATTCACTTTGTAAAAGAAGGGAAAAATTGTCAAACACAAAATTCAATACATCAAACATGTGATAAACTTGACCAAAGCACAGAAATTTTCATCAAAGTCGCTTACTTTGACAGGAAGGGAGTTGTTTAGGAAACCATTGTCCACTTCCAACACAGAGATGCTTTACCCGAAGGTCATGACCTCGACTAGGTCTGGTTCCTGTTTGACAGAACACGACACACATGCGAACAGATTCTTTCATCCATCCATTACAGACTAGAGCACCGTTCAAAGGAGCAGAAATATTTGGACAAGGAGGAGCTGCGTTAATTGGATGGAAAGTATTTTTAAAGTTTCTTTCAATTTGTTTTGTTTTTCAAGTTTAAAGTAACTTTATGCTCCCTAAAATATATATTCACCTGTACCGGTAAATTTCTACGTTAATATACTAGTCAAAACTCCCCACTTTTTAATTTTTAAATAATTAAAAATCTTATATCAATTTATAAGAAGCTTAAACTTTTAACTGCAATTTACAATGCTTACCTGTCAAGGCCAAAAAATGTAGTGGAATGAGAAATTACTCTACCGTGACTGTTTATTTTGGTTACAACCTTTAAAAATACCGTCCAAAATACCAACATAGCTCATTTGAATTCCTAACAATTATAAAAAGTCGCTAAATTTTTAGCAGAGACCTCAAAACCATCCCAGAGTTTATCCCATAAATCACCGGAACCCGAACCGGAAGTGTAGACCTTCCTCCAAGGCCAAGACGTAGTGTAACGACACATCATCAGACCTACTACATGTGAATTACTCACTATCGTGGAAGGAACCCAACTGCATATGCAGCTGCACAATTGAAAATTCATGCAAGTCTCTTCAGTGACCAAACTGTATGAAAGAAACTGGAGGAGTGGGGAATGTGTGTAAGGAGACATTATTATGTACTGTATGCTTAATATTGTCGGCAAGGCACAGGCAGTTTCGGTTAGTCCCCTTGTCATCCACCCCACAACCCTAAGAGCATGTTTGGGACAAGATAAACCGGAAAGAGTGGGACAACTTCTCCAGCCGCAGAATCTAGCAGAACTAGAGGGAGAAGTAGTCAATACATGGAATAACCTTCAATAAAGATTTTTCTTTTAATTGTGAGAACTCTATAAGGAGCAGATACCTTGTTGTTAAATCGTTTGAATGGAGGAAAAATGAAGTGTTGAATGTGCGAATTTTAAATATTAGGGTTTCTAAACTTTTCTGCATTTTGTGATAAAGCACTTCAATTAAATTTTGTTGAGTGAAAAAATTTTGTTTTGTGACTTTTTATCCTATATATTTATCGATTTATATTGTCAAAATAATTTAATATAAAAAAAATTGTAAAGCAAAAACTTGTCTGGGGACTTAGAAATTTTGATTAGTGTAGATGAAAATATAAAAATAAATTTCATCCAATTCTATGCTATGTTATGTATGCTATGTAATATTGAATTTCAATACATTTTCTTAATTTCTTTTGCATTAATTTATATAAAAAAAATCTTAATAAAGTGTCAAATTGAATAGACAAACAGTCAAAAGGTGAATTTAAAATTAACCCTTTCTTATCCTTATTTCATGTTCTTTCATTCCTCATTTAGAGATCTTTTTCATAATGAAATATAGAGATAAAGAACAGTAGTCAAGCTCATAGTCCATTTAAAAAAATACAAATAAGGAGCAGAGGAAACACGGACCTCTAGAACACCAGAGGTGATATCAGGTGATATCAGGTGCCTTGGAGGAGTAAGCATCCCCTGTTTACTAGTCACACCCGCCGTGAGCTTCTTGTCATCATCGGTTTAAATCCGTAGAAATTTCAGTGTGTAAATAATGGCCTAACAATAAGTATGAAAAACGTCTGTAAACATCTGACCTAATGATAGATTGTATTGGCCGATAAGGTAATTAAAACGACTACAAAACTTGCAAAATGATGACTTCAAACAATACTTTTGATATCCTTTTTTTTCATCAACTTAATGATTAATAGCTTGCCTTGTTTTAAAAATTGATAGTACGCAGAGAATTTTCTTGCGTATCAAATCAACTGGGAGACATAAACTCCATATTGCGGGTGATAAGGGTATATTACAAAGGGAAGTTGACGATAGAAAAGTTGAAGTCATCACGTTTATCGTAAAGATTTGTTGTTAGGTTACCATTAACGTCTTTTTCTTGTAAAATATACAGGTATAAAAATTATGAAATAGAATTGTAAGACACTGTGGTATCTTTTATTTCAAGTTATTCACAGGGATATATAAAATCGACATTTGAATGGAAGTGTATTTGTTATTTGATAATACGTCGTCGATATATATATATATATATATATATAAATGTCGAGTCGAAGACCACACTAAGAGTTTTCTTCTCATGTTGAAGTTTTTGAATAACTCTGCTTCATATGAATACAAAAATAGATCTGTTATAACATAGTGCAATTGGTACCCAAGGAATTCCAACAGATTTTTGGAAGACCTGATCTCCAAAACTACATAGTTAATGTCAATCAGAAACTCAAGCATCTTTTTAATATCAACTTCAGAGTATTTGTGTGCACAATCAGAATGTTTTTAACAAAATAATTTTGCAAATGACCAATGATGACAAGGTAAGTATATTTACGAGTTCCATTTTAAATGAAAAAGCAGCTGTCTATGATGTCAAAAAGCCTGGACTTTGATTAATCGTGGGAAATGGTTGTAAAAGTGTTTGAAAATCGTACGTGATTTTGGTACAATTTTTCTAAAAGTTCTTTGGAGTTTTTAAGTATCCACATCTGGTTTACACCACTTTTGGAATATCTTGATGGACAGTACTCCTAAAGTTTCTCCTTCACTGCTCTAAATATTTTAGTGAGGAGTAAAAAGAGACTTAGTAGAACATTTACTGGAACCAGCTATGTGTCTTTGTATGGATTTTTATGGAGTTTTGAATCCAGTATAGGTAAGGTAATTCAAATTCATTTTGGTTGTTGGGAATATTAAGAATTATTGGGAATTGTTGGGAATATTAAAAATATTTAAAACTGACGTATGGTTTTTTTTTTTAAAAATCCCCCCCCCCTTTAGAAAGTGAGCTATACGTATAAGTTGGATTAATACTTGCAGATTTTAAATCTTAGTTCCTCTAAAATACAATTAAAATAATGATCCTTACAAAGACAGTACAATCTGATCGTGTAATCTATCTATTTTTTTTTTTCAATTATTGAACACAGAAGTATAGATGGATTTGATATTGCCCATCAATTGCTTAATTAAGATTTCAACATCCATCGGATACTTTTAATCAATTCCGACGAAGTGTCAATGTCTTCTTTTTCATATTTGGCCAATTTCTGGCGTACTCTTCCACAGGATTCAAAATATTTATGAAATTATGACGCCAAGTTAAAAAAGGGGTTCCCTAAATATTGGCCCTTTTATAATATGTGATTTAAGGTCCTCATTGTTAACTATATTTAACTCACCAGTACTGACGTATCCAGCAGGACTATAATTGTAGGGTGATGAAGAACATGAACATGATTATGTTTCAGATGTTTGATATCTAGGCACTGTAGATTTTTTTGTACTTAAAAAGTTTGGAAGCAATTGTTGATGTATATTTATAAGAAATACAAGGTGAGGACCAACTCAAAATATGGTGAAATACTTATTATTATGGTGGAATAATTATTTTAAGTCAAATTATTCAAAACAGTCATTATTTGTAATGTGACAGGTAAAGATAACAAAAAGTTTGTTTGTTTCTATGTTGTTTAACGTCCCTCTCGAGAATTTTTCACTCATATGGAGACGCCACCACTTGCCGGTGGAGAGCTGCAAATTTTGTCCTATGCTCGGCACTTAGGGCCATTGAGCAGTGAGGGATCTTTTTCGTGCCCGCACTTACTGCGACACGGGACCTCGGTTTATACGGTCTCATCCGAAGGACCGGTCTCCACGTCCCACAGTGGGATTTGAACCCACGACGTAGGGGATCAAGTCCTTACTTAGCGACTCTAAAGCAGACGCTCTAACCACTGCGCCACGCGGGCGACATAAGAAAAAGTAATCAATCTCATAAATTCGGTAAACAATAAACAAAACGAATCGTAAACCGAAGAAAAATACGGACCCCTGGAAACGTCAGTGGTGGGAATAGGTTCCAAGGAGGAGGATCATCCCCCATTGACTAGTCACACCCGCATTGAGCCCATCTATTGATCAGTTATAATGAATATTTCGTAATCAAACTGAGAAGAAAAGAAATAACCTAACAAATGGTATGAAACATATCAGACAAAAAACGACCCAATATTAGGTTGAATTTACAAACAAGGTTATTATAAAGACCGCTGAATTTGCGAAAAGTGAAATCTTTGGTAGGGTCTTATAGAAAAAAAACTTACGTTCAACAAAAATGTTGAAGGTGCAGTAGGCTCTAAGACCGTTCAAAGGTTTTAAAGCTGTATATCGAGCAGTATATTCTCCCCAAAGAAGGATGGATCCGTGATCCGGATAGTTGGTGGTTACTTCGACATTTTGACCAAATGGGTCGTAGAAGTCAGGTGCTCGCCACGTGACGTTGACGACTTTTGATGACGAAATTTGTCGTATTTCTGAAGGACACTTCTTAGTAATTGGTGGCTGGATATCTTACATCACCAAAGAGAAAAAATAAAATAAAGTAATGAAGCTAAATATTGTGCCGCAAGTCAATGAAAATATCCCCTACAAAGGGGAAAATCTTTAATATAAACAGATGGAGGACATTTCTTATAGGGTATTACAAAACCCCAGTGAAATAATCGGTTTAAACCTATCGTTTCTAAAATATGAAATGATTTATCTTTAAAATTTAAAAGAAAAACGATTAACTATGACATACTAGTAATACATGACTCGTATTTGACCTATAGCGTAATAATGGGAAGACATCCCATTTATCTGACATTTAGAATGTGTTTGTGCCATCTACATGATAATTACGTACATATTATTCAAGAAAGGGTAACTTTTATTTCTTTATAGTGGAGAACTGATATTTTTACATATGCATAAAGAGTCTCCTTCCTTTGCTTATATCAATATAGATCAAGGTCATATTTTTATAGATGAAGGGGCTTTTTTTACTTTTTCTAATGATTCTTTTATTCTTTCTTTATTTATTAGTCCCCTACCGGAGACTATAGGTTTCCTCTGAGTCTGTCCGTCCGTCTGTCTGTCTAGCTGTCTGTCTGTCTGTCTGTCAGTCTGTCCCACTTGGTTTTCCGCTTTTATTTCCTAAACGCTTGCAGATATTGAGCTGATTTTTGGTATGTGAGTGTATCTTGATTAGTTAAAGATCAAGTTTGCATTTCGTTCCGCTTCATTGATTTTTGACGGAATTACGGCCTTTTCAATTTTTAGGGGTTTTCCGCAATTTTCTTCTAAACGCTTTCAGATATTGAGCTGATTTTTGGTATGTGACTTTACCTTGATTAGTTATAGATCAAGTTTGTATTTTGTCCCGTTTCATTGATTTTTGATGGAATTATGGCATTTTCAATTCTTAACGGGAACCAGATTACACTTGCCGGTAGGGGACTAGTATTGCTAATGCAATACTCTCAGAATGATTGTTTTATTTGATTTTTGTTGTTGGTGGTGGTGGTGGTGGTGTTTTCTTCCGTTTGTTTTTGTTTTTTTCTTTATCATTGAAACTTTTAAATCAAAAAAAAAATCTGAAACTCCTTGGTCATTTTTATTTATTTTGACACATTTTAATCTTTGTTTCATTTCAATCATTCTGTTGATTTCTTCTAAAATTTGATCCATAGAGATGTTAAAGTGTAGCATATATACATGTAAATCTGCAATTTCCAAGCTCTTTATGTTCTTGTTTTTACATCACATCAAAATCAAATATAACAGTATCAATACATTTTATTGAATGTTAATAAGATGAAATATATGGTAATAACGCACAGTATTCAAGCTCAAGAGTCCATTAAACAATACAAATTTGGGGCAGAGCAAACACGGACCTCTAAAACATCAGAGGTGGAATCATGTGCCATAGAGGAGTGAGCATCCTCTGCCGACCGGTCACACCCGAAAAAGATTATTGTTATAAACTCAATCAAACATTTTCAATATATGAAAAAGGATATTTCATGAAATATATGGAGATAACGAACAGTATTCTAGCTCATCCATTCAAACAATACAAATCAGGAGAAGAGCAAACGCGGACCTCTTAAACATCAGAGGTGGGATCAGGTGCCATGGAGGAGTGAGCTTGTCATAATCGGGAAGTAACGGAAAACTCCGTCAACAGTTCAGTGTGTAATTAATGACCTAACAATTAGTATGTAAGTCTGCATTTAGTTTAAACTTTATTTCATTTAAATTATACATCATATGTACACAATAGATAACGCATACAGGATTCGGAAACAAGTTGTTACAACTTATATTAATCCGTTTCCTTAATTTGACTTAATGATAGATAGTATTTGTGGACAAGGTCATTGTATCGACCATAGAACTTATGTAATGATGACTTTAACCGAGTCTGTTGATATTCTTGTTTCATCAACTTGTTTGTGAATAACTTACCTCGTTTTAGAAATTGTTCATAGGTAGAGCATGCTCTTGCGTATCGAATCAATTGAGAGATATAAACCCCGTATACAGGTGATAAGGGTATATTCCTGCATAAATACGTGAAAATGACGATTGAAAAGTTAAAGTCATAACGTTTATTATAAGGTTTTGTTCTTAGGGTACCATAAACGTCTTTTTCTTTTAAAATATACAAGTATGAAACAGATGTGTCAGACTCTGTGTCGACATATGAATGGAAATAGCTATTGTGAATTGATAATACGTCGTCGATATATCTAAATGCCGAGTTGAGGGTCAAGTGTTTTCTTCTTCTCATGTATAAGATTTTGAATAAATTCTGCTACGTATGAATACAAAAATAGGCCTGCTAATAACGGGATGCAAAAGGTACCCATGGGAATTCAAATAGATTGTTGAAAGACCTGGTCTCCAAAAACTAAGTAGATATTGTCAATCAGAAACTCAAGCATCTTTTTAATATCAACTTCAGAGTACTTGTGTGTACAACCAGAACGCCTTTTAACAAAATAATTTTGCAAATGACCAATGACAAGGTAAGTAAATTTACGAGTTCAATTTCATTGAAAAATAGCTGTCTATGATGTCAAAAAGCCTGGAGTTTAATTTATTGTGGGGAATGGTTGAATAGAAAGTTGAAAAGTCGTACTTCTTTTTTTTATTGTCTTTGGTAAAATTTTGTAAACAATGCACATCATAATATCGAATGTATGATTTATGGTGTTAATAAGATGTGAATACTTATAAATTCCAAAGAACTATTAGAAAATTTTAAATTACAAAATTTTACCAAAATCAATATCATCAAAACTTAAGACTTTTCAACTCGTCATACAACTCTTTATAGTATACCTACGATAAATTAAAGACCAGACTAGACTACTGCTTTTTAAAAAAAAATGGAACTCATAAAATTATACCTTGTCATTTGTCATCTGCAAACTTATTTTGTTAAAAACATTATGATTCTACAAACAAGTAATCGAAGTTGAGATTAAAATTATGCCTTTTTTATGAGTTTTTATTGAACTACCTATGTATAATTTTAAGAGATCGGGTCTTCCAGTAATTTATTTATCCCTGTTGAAGTGTTCAAATTTTTTTTCTCGATTACTTTTCGTTATCTTCACCTTTTCTATGAAGCAGAATTCATTCATAAACCTTTACATGGCTAAAGGACGTCTCTTGCTGTGACTTTCATTTCGACGATATACCGACGACGTTTTATCAATTAAAAATATTCATTTTCATTTCTACGTTGATTCCCTTGAACTCGAAATATAACATGTCACAGAGTCTGCCACATTTTTTTCATATTTGTATACTTTACTAGAGAAAGATATTCATAGAAAAAGTAACAACTACACTTCATGATAGATGTAATGACTTCAATTTTCCTACGTTAACCTCCCTTATTTATGTAGTAATATATCATTATCACCTGCATATGGAGTTCAAGACTCCCAGCTGATTCGACACACAAGAGCATGTTCTTCGTACGAACAATTTCCTAAACAAGGCAAGCTACTGACATATAATTTTATGGTACAATGAAAAATATGGAGATAACGAACAAGGATATCAACAATCTCGTTTAAAGTCAACATTTCACAAATTCTCTAGTTGATAAAATGACCCTGCAATTCTCTCGACGTTAAGTCGAATGTTGACTGACGTTTTTCATACAAAATGTAAGGTCATTATTTTCACGCTGAATTGTCTACAATTTTTTCGTTTATCCGGTCATGACAATTAGCACACAGCAGATGTGACTGATCGATAGGGGATGCTCACTCCTTCATAGCACCTAATACCACCTCTTATGTTTTTAGAGGTCCGTGCTTACTCTGCTCCTAATTTGTATTGTTTTAATGAACTTTCGAACTTCTTTACTGATTGTTATCATCATATATCATTCATCCTCTTCTAGTCTACATTTCAAACTATGTGTGCTTTAATTTCTTTCATAGCGCACATAAGGAAAGATCTGTTCTTTAGAACAAAATATCACAATTTTAAAAAAGTTGAATTGAGAGGAAATTTGCTCTACCCGTCGTGCACTACCTTAAATGAAATTCTAATTGCAGTAAATTTAGTAACAAATCAAAAGGCAGAGCTTTTCGGTTTTTTTTATTCATACAGTAAATCTGCTGAAATGATCTACAGACCTTTTTCTCAGTAAACATCTGTGTAACCTTGGATACAGTTACAGATGTATCGATTCTCGCCATCTATACTACTTCCGCCATTTTGACAGGGATTAATATTACACGTTTTCACGACTGTTCAAGTTAAGAATATATATCAAGATATTAATAAAAAATTACTTTTAACGTTTTACATTTAGTAGAATCGAAAGCTTATAAAACAGATTTTTGTTGCTGCTAAAAATTCCAAGCCCTTGAATCATTATAGAGACTCTGACTTGCTCAAAATTACACCATCTTTAAAGCAACCTTTTCAATCAAATATTTAAAGTTTCACTTTGAAAACATTCAAACTCACAAATGCACGATGGAAGACTTCCGGACCAAACTTTATTACTTTGACACGTCCTCTGTTGATTGCCGACGATTTTATAACCAGTCTCACAGCTGAAGGTCACAGATGTCCCTTGGGAAAAGTTACTCCCGTGAAGGAAATTAAATGGAGTGCCGGGGTGACCACAAGACCTAACTAACAAAAGCAGTAACCAAGTAATACTACTGATTTCAAAAATACTCAATAAATTTTATTCATCTATTCTAATACAAATGAGGGGATAAGCCCATTCTTAATTGTAGCATTAATTAGTAGTCTCCTTTTTCAAAAGATGATGGAAATATTCTTCCTTATTTGACATTTCCCTCCATTGTGCCGACAAATTAGTTTGTTTGGTGGGTTTCTAAAGGGAGGGTATAAGTTCATCGAATTAAGACAACATTATTCTGTTCCGACGGTTTAAATATTTGCTCAAATGAAATATGGAGATAACGAACAGCTATCAAGCTGAAACGTCCATTTGAACAATACAAATCGGGAGCAGAACAAACACGAAGCTCTTAAAACATCAAACATGGAATCAGGTGCCATGGAGGAGTAAGCACCCCCTGTCGATCTTTTACATTCATCGTGTGCTCCTTGTCATGATTGAGCAAACGGAAAATTCGTAGATAATTCAGTGAAAATAATAACCTAAAAATTAGTGTGAAAAACGTCTTCAGGATTCAACATAAATAATAGATCGTATTTGTTGATAATATCATTGTATCGACAATACAAATTCGAAATTGTTGACTTTAAACGAGACTGTTGATATTTTCGTTTCATCAAGTTATTTGTATATATCAAGTTGACATATGAATGGAAGATACTATTGTTAATTGATAATACATTGTCGATATATCGAAAGGTAGAGTTCTTTTTCTCATGTATAAGTTTTTGAATACCGCTTCATATGAATAAATAAATAGGTCTGCTAATAATGGCGCACGATTTGAACCCATGGGATTTCCGACAGATTTTTGGAAGACTTGATTTCCAAAGTTTTCATACATATTGTCTATCAGAAACTCAAACATCTTTTTAATATCAACTTTGGAGTACTTGTGTGTACAATCAGAATGTTTTTTTTTTACAAAATAATTTTGCAAATGACCAGTGACAAGGTACGTAAATTAACGAGTTCCATTTTATTGAAAAAGCAGCTGTTTATGGTGTCAAAAAGCCTGCACTTTAATTTATCGTAGGGAATGGTTGTAAAAAGTGTTGAAAATTCGTGCATTTTGATATCATTGAATTTGGTAAATTTTTGTGATTTCAAATTTTCTCAAATTTTCTTTGAGTTTTTAAGTATTGATATCTGATTTACACTACTTTTCGAATATATTCTTTTACAGTAGTCCTGAAGATTCTCCTTCGATGATGTTAATATTTTAATTAGGAGTAAAGAAAGAGGCTTGGTAGAACTTTTACTGGAGCTCGCAGGGAAAATTAATTTTTTTTAAAACTGACATATCATTTAGAAGAATTTCCGGGAGTTATTTGGATATAAGTTGGATTACCACTTGCAGAATTAAATCCCAGCTCCTCTAAAATACAATTAAAATAATTATCTTTACAAACAAAGACAATGTTGTTACCTGCTTTGTCAGCTGGGACCAGTACATATACTGATCGCGTAATCTATATAATTCCTTTTTAATTCTGAATTATTGAAGGCAGAAGGATAGATGGTTTTCGTATTGCCCCTCAATCGCTTAATGCGAGATTTCAGCACCCATCGGATACTTTTAACCTCTGAAAGAGTTTTAAGGTCTTCTTTTTCATGTATGGTCCATCCCACAGAATTCATAATATTTATGAAATTATGACGCCAGTTGAAAGATCAGGGTTCCCTAAATTTTGGCCCTTTAATATAATAAAAAGTTATTTAAGGTTCTCATTATTAACTATATTTACGTCATCAGTAATGACGTGTCCAGCAGGACTATAGTTGAAGGGTGAAAACATGAACATTATTCCTAAATTTCATTTTAAAAATCCGAAAAAAGATACATTGCCGGGTCCAGAAAATCATCTACCAAGCCCCTATCTTTACTCGTTACAAAATAAATTAATTGCTGTAAAGGGGAATCTTCCGACGTACTGTGCTACATACAGCATATTCTAGAAGCGGTGTAAATCAGATATGGATTCTCAAAAACTCCAACAAACTTTCAGAAAATTATTTGATTGCTCATCACGAAATTACTTTGCCTAAAATCTCTCTGATTCTACACACATGTACTCTAAAGTTGATATTAAGAGGAGGCTACAATGTAAAATTCCCCATTTACATGTATGTATGTATCTAAGGAGACCAGTTCTTCTAACAAACTGTTGGAATTTCGATGGGCGTTAATTGTGCTCCTTTATTAGCCGACCTATTTTTATATTCCTATGAACCAGAAGAAGAAGAAAATACTTGCTATATATGGCTTTCAACATAAAGATATATCGACGACGTATTATCAATTAACAATAGTTACGTCCATTCACATGTCGAGTCAATATATCCTAGTGAACTTGAAATGAAAGACATAACAGAGTCTGCAACATCTGTTTCTTATTTGGATGTTGTACTGACTATTGACGATAAGGCCAACTAACAACTAAATTGTATGACAAGCCAGATGACTTTCGATCTACTTTCTGAGTCGCAAACTTTCCTGATTTATGTAGTAATGTTCCACTATCACCTGCATAAGGCATTTACATCTCCCAACTTATTCAATACTCAAAGGCATGCTCAAATACAATCAATTTTTAAACCGAAGCAAGTTACTGACAGCTAAATTGATGTTACAAGGATTTCAACAACCTCGTTTAATGCCAGCATTGTGTAAATTCAATGGTCATTATAATAATCTTGTTAACAAATATAACGTATCATTTGGTCGTATTTTGGCTGACATGGTTCATACTCATCGTTAGGCCTTTGTTTTTATATTGAATTCGACTACGGAATGTCCCGGCTTCTTGATCATTACAAAGGGCTCACGGCGGGTGTGATCAATTAACATTGGATGCTTACAACTCCTAGATATCTGATCTCACCTCTGGTATTTCCAGGGGTCTGTGTTTAATACCATGTTCACAGATGTGTATTTTTATAGATTGTTTTGAGATCGATCTCTGTACTTTACATTTGTCATTATGTATATCATTTTACTTCCCTATATTTTACTCTTTACAAAAATGTAAATGCTGTAAAGGAGAAACTTCAGTAGAACTGTCCTACAGCATATTCTAGAAGTGGTGTAAATCAGATGTGGATTTTAAAAACTCCGAGGAACTTTCTGAAAATTTAATATCACGATTTTTTTCTAAAGTCAATAACAACAAAACGTACGACTTTTCCATACTATATACAACCATTCCTCACGAAAAATTGAAAACTGGGCTTATTGATATCATAGACAACTGTTTCTACAATGAGAATGGAAGTTGGAAATTTACGTATCTTATCACAAAATTACTTAGTTTAAAAACACTCTGATTCAACATACAATTATTTTTGAACTTGATATTAAAAGGTTACCAGGGTTCTCCATCATTTGGAATTTTACTGTGTTGCAGACTTTTCGTGAACCACTAATATTCGAGGCATTTTGCGATCAAATTCGCAACTGAACTACTATTTATTATAATTACACAAGCATATACACACAATTTTTTGAATCACTTATTCGTTACACAAATTGTATGGTCGTGCATATTAAAAATAATAATAAATTAATGGAGATTTACAGCAATAAGAATTTATCCATATAATAATGTACATACAATGTACTACATGTATTAGATAAACCAACTGTAACCCCCACCCCCACACAACCACAACTTTAAAAAAAATAACTACGGTTTTTTTTAAATAGAATATACTTGTATCACTATCTACAGGTTGTACGTACATGTATATATTAAACCTTGATATTTTTGTGTATATAACTTCATATAAATACTCTGAAGAGCAGAGGAAATCCTGGTCGATACAATCGATCTACAGTAAATTTGCCGTGATTTTTGTCAGTTGATGGAATTGCAGAATTTTAAAAAAAAAACTTAGATAATAGTAAAATACTTTTAGGGGGTGCCTTTAAATTCTTAAACAATACATTTACATCAATGACATGATTACGGTACGATGTTTGACTCACAGTGCCAACATGATTCTAGAAACGTGGTTCTAAAGTATACAGGCATATATTTATTTTTTTTTTTTTAATTTTAAAATAATATTTAAAAATGCAACTAGCAATTATACGGTTAAATGGAAGTGTGAAAACAAATAATTTGTCTTTGTTCCTTCACATCAAGCGATGGTCAACGAGATAATTGATTATGTAAGGTGAAGCCAGACAATTTGTCCTAATTAGGAGATAATTAAGTGTTCTGCCTTAAAAATTGAAAGATGGTAGGTTTGTTTGTACAGAGCATTTATGTTCTGATTTTCTGATTATCACAATCTTACTGTGTAGCAAAATTTTTACTGTGTCGCACGCATAAAATTTGAATTGTTACTGTGTCGGGGAAAATTTTACCGTGTCGGGACCGACAAACAGCTCATGGAGAACCCTGGATACTGAAGTTCCTCATTGACATTTATGTGGTCATCGATCGGAGTCCAGGTCTTCCAATAAATAAAATCCATTGGGCACCTATAGTGTTCCTTTATTAGCCGACTTGTTTTACGTAGTACATGTTCCCACCTTTGATGTTTCAAGAAGTCTGTGTTTGTTCTGCTCACGATTTGTATTGTTTCAATGGACTTATGAGCTTGATTACTGTTCGTTATCTCCATATTCCATCCTATGAAGCAGAATTATTCCAAAAATTCTGAAAACAAGACGAAAACACTGGCCGTGGCCTTAAACTTGATATTCACTGATATTCAGACATATCGACGACATTTTATCAATTAACATTAGTTCCTCCCATTCATATGTCGACTCGATACTTAGTATATCGCAGTGAACTTGAAATAAAAGACGATTCAGAGTCTATTACATCTTTTTCATGTCTGGATGTTTTACTGAATGTAAACGATAAAGACCAACTAACAACTAAATTGTGTGACAGGAGATGACCATCTTTTCAATAAATTTTCCTGATT